CTCTGTGATATGGGTATCAAAGTCACCGTGCATACCCCAGGTCCCAGCCCCAGTGTCTGGCCAACAGGTCTGAGTGGCCCAAAACCTACATGGCTAGCTAGAATCCCTGTGATTCTGAGGCAGGTGGACCCAGGTGACGATTGGAGACACCTGCTCCGGGGCTCCTCTGAGCTTCTTGCTATGCACCTGGACCACCTCCTTCAGGGTCACAGGCTTGAGGCTGAAGAAGACATCATTACTCCCTTTGAACCCCCACAGCCACATCTCCAGCCACAACCTCCTATGCAAGCCCCCAGCTACCCTGCACGAAGACTTCAAAGACAAGACAGGTAGCACTCACTCCAGGGAAGGGGTGCCAAGCCAACCACCCCTAGGGACAGTTCTCCACGCACACGTACTCCAAGAGGCAGACCACCCTGGGCCAGAGAAACAAGGCTCCCAGCATGCAATGAGCAACGTTATTGCCTATTATGCGATTGCATCTTGTAGGAGTAGCAGCCTGTGGGTTGAGAGAGAAGGCAGCCAGTGGAAGGGAGTGAGGCTGTGGGCTGAGAGGCGATGGTAGCCAGAGACGACAATAGGGACTGCGGGCCCAAAGCCACTGCTCCCAAGGGGTGGGCCTCTGTGTGGCCTCCTTCCCAGCCTGCTGCTGCAACACCCCCCGCCCCTGGCTTGATGGCTTCCAGATGCTAGGCTCCCAGAAGAGGCCACTGGCCCCACCCAAAGCCACAGCCTTGGTTTCTTCCTGATGTGCCCCCCCCCCGCCCCCGGGGTGACTGGTCCAAGCCTGGGCTCACACCCTTGGGTCTGAGGTAATGGGGAAAGGACTCTGGGCATCCCGTTTCCATAGATGAGGAGCCTGAGCTCAAAGAGGTGCCTGGTTCAGCTCCCCTACTATGCCAGGCCCCCACGCCCAGCCCCAGGCAGAAAGGAATCTACATGAAAACCAAGAGGGAAACACATCTTCAACAGCTGGAGACAGCTGAGGCCCTTCCAGGCCCCACAGCCCACCCCATCTGTCCCACCTCAGCTCCCTGCAGGACCCTGGATTTGTCTTTGCCCCTTCCTATGCCTCAGCCTTTCCCGACAGAGAGTTGTCATCTGGGGATGAGCCAGGAGCGGGCTCTACGTCAGCTGCTGCTCAGGGTTGAGACAAGACCTCTCCTCCACCAGTTCCCCCAGGGCCTCCCTGGGCCCCCTCCCACAGAGCGCAAGGCCTTAGAATGTCAGTCTGTAAAGGGGGTCCATGACCCCCACTTTATAGATGGGGCTTAGGGCTCACAGAGGGGAGGAACACCGTTTTAAAGTCAGACAGCCAGGTACCCGGGGGCACCTCACTTCTCCCAGTTTCCCTGCCCTGCAGTGGAGGTGACTCCTGTGGCTGGAGTAGATGCAGGTCAGAGACCCGATATGCAGAGGTGTGCCTGACCTTCGGGGGAAGGTGGGTTAGAACGGAGTCCGGGCTCCTGGGCCTGGCAGTGCCTTCCAGAAGCCCTATGACGGGTGGATTAAAGTCGGGAATCTTTGGGGCAAGAAAAGATGGAGAGAAACGTGCATAGGAAGCCAAACCACCGGGTGACTCGGTCTGGCAACATCATCCTCCCCCTGGGGAGTGACAGAGGAAAGAACCCCACTCACCCAGTCCCTGGGTTTCCCCTGGTGATGCCCAAAGGCTAGAACAGATCAAAGTAATAAGGAGCCAAACAGGAGCCCCACGTCCACCCTTGAGCCACCTGGAGGCTCACCTGGAGGGCCTAGCAACAGAGTAATAAGGTGTGGGTGGTTTTTTAAGTCTTTTTAAAGTTTTTACTATAATGTGCTAAGGACTCATTTTGTTGGAATTTTCTCGTTGAATTGTCATAATCTTCCTCCGAGTTGTGTGGCCCATAATTCCTGTGTGGGATGACGACACAAAGGATTGGAAAAGATCTAGCGCAGCAAGTGTTGGGGCTGGGACTGGAACCTGGATCCCAGGACCCTGCTATGAGCCCTCAGAGGTCTCGCCACGGAGTAGACGGGACTCTGCACTGTCCCCGAGCAGCACACCCCAACAGGCAGATGACAGTTACTCCTGTAGAAAGGACCAAGCACAGGTATGCCCTGCCATCATGTTCACCATTAGCATTCACTGAACTTTTTTACATATTTCCCTCTGACTCTTGCAGAAGCCCAGCGAGATGGCTGCATCATCCTATTGCAATGAGGAGTCCAGGGTCCTGTGAGGGGAAGGGACATGCCCAAGGTCAGGCAGCCAGACCAGGGAGCAGCAGGCACCAAGCTCACACTCTCCTTCCCCACCAGCTGATGGCACCCTCTACTGATGGCTCACACATAGCCCACTGTTTACCAGAGCCCTGTGTATGGCAGCAAGAGGCGGCACCCCAAGACCCTCTGACTCCTGCCCCCCAAGCCAGCTCATCTGTCCATGAAATCTCAGCTCTGGGGAGCCAACCCTTTGCCTCTCCCATCTCCTCAGGACGTCCACAGACTGAGGAGACCAAAGAAGACAGCAGAAACCACCCAGTGGTTTGGCAGTGGTTTGGCTTCCCAGGGACATTTCTCAAGTGGAAGTTCCCAGAGGGCAGGGGGCGGGGCAGTGTGCAGGGGCCTATGTTGTCTCCTGTTCATTGAAAGCCGCCAGCCTGCCTCTTCCAGATGTTCCAGCCTGTCCTCTTCAACACCAAATCCATCAGCCCAGCCTCCTGCTCAGGAACCGGCTGCTGGTTAAGCCAGTGCAGACTTAAGTCCCAGAAAAGACTTCTTCCTGGTGGGGACCTGGGCTGCCACCAAGACTTTCCCATTCACTCACCTAAACGGTCCTGGAAGTACCGGCTGACCGTTTGTTTTTCTTTTCTTTTTTAAAATATATTTTTATTGATTTCCAAAAAGGGAGAGCGAGATAGAAACATCCATGATGAGAGAGGATCATCGATCGCTGCCTCCTGCAGGCCCCACACGGGATGGAGCCCACAACCCAGGCATGTACCCTGACCAGGAATCGAACTGTTACCTCCTGGTGTACAGGTCGATGCTCAACCACTGAGCCAAGCTGTGAGGCTCCTTTTTTTTTTTTAATGTATTTATTGCTTTTAGAGGGAAGGAGGGAGAGAGGGAGGGAGGGAGGAACATCTATTGGCTGCTTCCTGCATGCCCTCTGCTGGAGATCAAGCCCACAAACCAGGTAAGTGCTCAGACTGGGAATCAACCAGCCACCTCTCAGTGCACAGGTCCAGGCTCAACCAACTCAGCCACACAGGCCAGGGCCAGATGACAGTTTCTTTAATAGATTCAACTAACCAGGGGTGCTGCCCAACCAGGAGTTCTGATTGGTGGAATGCTGCCTAACTAGGGATTCTGATTGGTGGAGTGCTGGCCAACCAGGGGTTCCAATAAAGGATGACTAATTGGAATTACCAGCTAATACTACAAATGCATTAAAGCATTTTTGTATTTCTTTCAGAGTTCTGCAGAAGTAAACACAACTTACAGTAACTGTAAAAGTCCTCCACACCTCCTCATCAACTTCAGAGCCCCCAGGTAAGCAACACAGGTGGCCTGGGTCCACTAACACCAAATATCTTTTGCTTCTCTCCCTCCCCAAATGCCCAGGGACTGCCTTGCCTCAGGAATAAGGGAGAGCACCTGCCAAGAAACAGTTTGGGTACCAGCCTCAGGTGCCAAGACCAGAGCGGCCCACCCACTACCAGAGTACCTTCAGAAAGCCCCCCGGGAACACCACCAGCATCCCAACCAGAGGCTCAGGGCAGGGAGCACACTCTTAAAGTCTAGATCCTGTCCTGTACCTGTCCCTCTCTCTCAGTCCAAGGGCAGTACCCCCATCCTCCTTAGACACCCCTGTCGGGCTCCAGCCTCAAATTAGCCACTGACAACTCTCATTTCACACTGTCCCAAAGTCATTCACACACCTGCCACTCAACAACTATACAATCAGAGGTGAGAGAGCCACCCAGGATTTCTACCATAATCCAAAGGACAGGAGGGGGGACGACAACCCTCACCAAGGATGCCCAAGGTGCTCATCCTTCTCTCTGCAGCAGGTACTGAAGCAGCCCGGGGCCCTCACCCATCCCAGCTGTTTCTATCCATAGACCCGCCACTCCAACCAGCCTGCCACTCCTGCAGTCTCCCCATCTGTAATTTGGGGAAATACTGCCTCACTTCACAGGGCCATAGTTAAGTTTAAAAGAGGAGAAAAGAGAGATTGAGGACAACAGGATGCCTTATTTTTCCAGGGTTCATACCCAGGACTCCAGGAGAACCCCTGGACAACCTAAGAGACTGCAAACTCAGGGCAGAGGCCAGTTCTGGTTCTCTGTGATATCCTCAACACTGGCACCAAGTAGATGCCTTGTAAATACTAGATCAGGGACCCAACACATTCAAAAGCCCCTATTTGATTTCTAACTTCTAAGAGCAATTTGTCTCTTTCCCCACTGAGGCAGTCCCTAAACTCCTGCTTCTCAGAGTTTGAGAGCCTTTTTTGTTGTTAATCCTCACCCAAGGATATTTTCCCCCTTCATTTTCTTTTTGTTTTTTGTTTTTAAATATATTTTATTGATTTTTTACAGAGAGGAAGGGAGAGAGATAGAGTTAGAAACATCGATAAGAGAGAAACACCGATCAGCTGCCTCCTGCACACCGCCCACAACCCAGGTACATGCCCCTAACCGGAATCGAACCTGGGCCCTTTCAGTCCGCAGGCCGATGCTCTATCCCTGAGCCAAACCGGTTTCGGCCTCCCTCGATTTTTAGAGAGTGGAATGGCAGGAGGAAATGGGGAGAAACATCGATGTGAGAGAGACACGTCAATTGGTTACCTCCCACATGCGCCCCAACTTGGGCCGGGGATCGAACCTGCAACCCAAATACATGCCCTTAACCGGGAATCAAACACAAGACCCTTCAGTGCACAGGCCAACTCTCTAACCACTTAGCACCACTGGCCAGAGCTCTTTTTTTTTTTTGAAAGAAACATTGATTTGTTTTCCCACTTATGCTTTCATTGGCTGATTCTTGTATGTGCACTGACTGGGAATCAAACCCAAAACCCTGGCATATCAGGATGATGCTCTAACCAATGAGCGACCCGGCCAGGGCTGAGAGTCATTTTAACTACCAAGCACGTTCCTCCTGTGTAGCCACAGTTCAAGGTGCTCCGTTTTACAGAGGGTGCAAGCAGTTAACTGAAATTACCATGGCAAATGTTCAGGACAAAGAGA